CGACAAAATATCATTCAAGTTTTTTTATGCCGCATTAATCTCTAAAGCACATCTTTATTTTAAATTGTTGTATTTATAATAAGTGTTTAAAATGTATAAATCTCTTTTTAACAAAAATTCGCATCAATTTCATATAAAGTTTAACTACATAATATATAATTTCCAAAGAATATGTATTTTCTTCTAGATCCCGCAGTCGTCCTTTTCGTTGCGATACAATTTTAACTTCTCGTATTCACCAAGAGGGTTAAGATACAATCGCCACTCGACCTCGTCCCAGAGAAATTCTCTCCCGAAACTCTCCGATCGCACGTACGATCTTGAAGTGCAATCTCCTTAAACCTACAGGGGATTCCGTCTAATCCCAGAGTCCATCAATGTCCTCGTTCTGCGACAAAGTGGCTTAAGACGAGGAGCGGATCGCTCAGTATAGGCGAGACGGTATTAAAAATCACGGGGTGTTCGATCAATTCAAAGATGCTCCAGGGAGAGAGAAAGAAAAAAGGAAACGACTTTTTTTTTTTTTTTTTTAATAAAATCCGTAAAGATCTCGGCGCAGAGATCGTACGGTAAACTTTTGTTCTCTTTGGCCGGCCAGAAAGGGTTGTGACGTCATCTCCCTTCCTGATATAATCCGCGTATGTCCGAAGAGGAAAAAAAGAAATAAGGAAACGGTAAAGGATTCGTTGAAGAAGAAGAAGAAGAAGAAGAAGAAAGAGTTCCCGAATCGACAGACGTTCATTACGCTAACAAAATGCATATTCGTCATGCCTTGCACCTTTTAAATGGCCACTTACTTCACCAGATGATAAGCTTGCTCTCTTTTTTCGCGAATGCATCGTTCTTGTCTTCTCAGCGACCTGATATTTTCCGTGGCCCATCGACTTTATTCGTTGAATGAAAATTGTTACTAATTTTTGTAAGGTCTCATGTTTGAATTCATTAACATTAAAATGTTTTTAAAAATTTTCTCCCAATTAGAAGATACGTCTTATAATTGGTAAGGTCACTTCGTGTTTTAATTTTTCAACATTTAAACTTGAATTTCGCTCTAAAAATATATAATCTTCAAATTAAAGTTTTCTTCAGCTCCTATTATCTGGAGAGTCCAATAATTGCTTTGAAAATTATATCCATTACGGATCTTCATTATAAACTTGCGTTGATAATATTTTTGTAATTTTGTAAATTTATATATCTTTCTCCCTTCTGATTTCCCATCAAGGGAAAGTCTCCTCGCGCTTCTTTCCATTTCTGATTATTAATCACTTCGTGTTATTAACACTGAAATTTGAATTTTTCTGAAGATAGTCATCAAATTAAAAAATGTTCTTACGGTCTTATTACACGGGGAGTCCAATTACATCTCATTGATCGAAGGTGCAAGTTAGCGGCACCGTGGTCGAACGATCGATGTAACATAATTAGCAAGCGATGCACGCCGCAAATGAGAACGTGCGACACGCTGCGTGTAATTGGCAAATTGTGGCACATGCGGCAACACGATGGTCCGTAGTAATAACCAGAATTTTCGTTCTTGCGCAACGAATTTACGGCGTAATGGCGACGTCTTTCTGCTTCCTATGTACGATTAAAAGTTTCCTGAAGGGGTGATAAGCTTTTTTAATTTTCCACCCTATCAAGAAAAGTGAAAAGCGTTTACCGATACGTTTACTGTTTTTCTTCAAACTTTTTCTTCAGTTAAATGGAAGAAGTCAGCGTTTCTTTTTTTATTAAATTAAATTTTGAAATAATTAAAAAAAATTTTTTTTAATACAATGATAGAATAATGTAATATTTTGTGAAAAATAAAAAATCATCGCAATTTATATTTTTAATACAATGTAAGATTGAAATTAAAAGTTAAAAAGTTGTCAAACTCTCTTCATGCTTGAAATTAATTAAAGAATAATATTTTATTATATGTCCGAGATTCAATTGACAAATACTTTCAGTTCTAATCGTTTAAATTTTCAATGTAAAAATAATTGAATCAACTAAATAATTCCATTCTCAAACTGCTAATTTATTTTTTGGAATATTCACCGCAATGAATCAATAAAGATAAGTAAATAATATCAAGTGATAATAAAGCTATTCAATTTTGCAATGCAGAGTTTAATTAAAAGTTACAGTTACAAAAATTGACACGTCCTGTTTTGCAGCCCACACGCGAATGAATAATTTAACCCCTCGCGCGATTAATAAGCGTCAGATGTATCGATATAAGTACCAATATTCTGTAATGCCACATGCGATTGTGAGGTTTTATTTATTCGTGACATTTCGGCAATTAGGCAGTTCTAAATTATTTTACGCAATACAACGCGATAACACATAATACATTTCCGCGACTCGACTATATTATTTTACTATATTTAATATAAATTTTGGTAATTTTTACCAAGCCAGATTTTTTGTTCACTGTACAAAAGTGACAAAGTAAGACAAAAGATATTTCTATAGTTTTATTACAGACAAATATTTTTCGCTTTCGTACGAATTTTAAGTGCTGCTTGTCAATCGTGCGGTAAATTTTTTCCTGAAAATTCGAATGATAAATTCCATATTGACAGCTTAGAAACGATTGATTGAGAGCAAGTAAAAGAATAAAAATTTGGAAAATGAAATACGTAAAAGATGGATATTAAAAAAATTAAAAATATATATATGTATGTGTATAACGCGATTCATAGTTTATATTTAAAATTATAAAAAATAATATAACGTAATCCAAGCGTGTAATTTAATTTGTAATAAAAAGCTGGTACATTAATTTTAAATCATATCATATCTCATTTTAAAATTCATAATCAATTTTTCGAGCAGACAATCTGGGATTCTGCACAAATTACACATTCATTGAAAAAGCTTAAATTAATATAAATAAGCTTTGAATTAAATTTATTATAATTCTTATATAATTTTTCTCTAATTATATAATTTTTCTATAATTCCACAGAGATTTAACCGAAACATCTCTCTATAAAATTGTGACCAGCTGAACACTCACTTATCCTACATCTTTGGATTCTTTGTAATATAAATTGCGATTAAAGATACGGATCAATCGGGCACGCGAGGAATAATGCCTGCAAAATTTGTCGGAGCAATTTAGGGGATTATACGCGCTATGCGTACTTTGAAAATTAGGATGAACTGTCGCGTGTCGAGACTGGAGCAATTCTATCGGTTATCTCCGCCTCATATCATATCGTACAAAGTGTCGCACATCGATGCCGGCCGACAAATTGCGAAACGCAGTTACTCGCTGCGTGTAACAATTTCTCGGTTCATCGTGGGTGTCCGTTCGTTAGTAATTCCTTGGCCCCTGCTTGCGATCTTTCCTCTTCCTCCGCATTTGGAAGCGGTCTGTATCTGGCCGCGGTGACGTCACGTTTCTTCTTTTTCGTCTGATTTTTTTCCTTTTTTTTTTTTTTCTGCGTCCCATTCGAACATATGTTACGCGACGAACAATCGTCGTTCGAATAGGGAATCGAGAATGTGAATAACGTCTGCTGTCTCTCATCAGCGTTTTTCAATCCTTTCATCCCGACCCAATTAAAGAGATATTCCTTTTTTCTTATTTCTAATAAGCGCGCGTATAATTGTAGAGACATTTGTAATTTTCGAGTGGACGAATGGAGTATTAAATCGATATTTTCAAACACCCAAGTTATTTGACAGATAAAAAATTTGTGAATAAAACTTATGAAACTGTGTAATATTAAATTTAATTGGTATCTTTATACATTTAGAAAAAGAAAATTTTAAAATAATTACACACGAAATTTGACACATGCGTGTCAAACTTTTTTGTGAATTCATATTGCTATTCTATCCTCAATTTGTGAGTTATTAAAGTGGTTTTATTTGTGATTTTGGAATATGGAGAATAGAATATTAAATCGATATTTTCAAGACACCCAAGTTATTTGACAAATTTTAAAAAATATGAATTAAACTTATAAAACTGTCTAATATTAAATTTAATTGGTATCTTTATAGATTTAGAAAAAGAGAAATCTATTTTTGACATTTTAATAAAATAACGACTGCACACGAAATTGGACATATGTATGTCAAACTTTTTTGTGAATTCATATTGCTATTCTATCTGAAAAAAAATTCAGTTTTTTAAAAATTTGATTAAATAAAACGAAAAAATCTTATATAGCAATGTTTCTTAAATTTTTATGGTAATTATTCATTATATAATTTTATATAATTTTCTCGATCTGTTCTTAATAGTGAGATTAAATTAGCGATAGTCTAAGAATAGCAAGTGAGTAATTCTTGTAGTGAATTTTCTATATCACAAAAAAATTTTATGATATATAAATTACACCACGATATTTTGTCTATTAGTTTTAATGAATTTATAAGCATGATAAAATAAAGTTTAGAGTTTGTAGTTATAAAGTTACAGTTTTTCACTTACCTTATCATTACGTGTTATTTATATGTAAATTGTTGAAATAAGATTCTTTTTGCAGATATTCATATTAGTATTTATCCATTAAATCAATTGTTACTTTATTAAAACGCTTATCGCGTCTAACGAATCTCCGTATCGTGTCGCGAACTTTAATTAAAATATGAAGCTGTCGTCGCTTAGAAAGAAACTAATTATCGTTGTAATTGATTTAGCAGTCGCATGCATATATATTAAAAATATACGGATTTAATTATTGCATTAGCTTCAATTAAATTGTATCAAGTTCAACATTTAAATTTCAACATTATCTAACATCAAATCGTATATTAAAGTTCTTTTTATATTTCATGAATTTTAATATTCATTAATAAACTAAATTCTTTTAACATGAAAATTTCCAGATTGAAATGACATAAAAAATAAAAATTTCAATTATTAAATTACCTTTTAAATTAAATCGTATGTTGAAATGTTTGTTTTATAAATTATCAGTGATACTGCAAAATGAAGAGGCGCGCTCGCGCATAAAATGACGTCATGATAAAAAAATAAATTTACTCACTCGATGCCCTTTCTCGCCGGTACCCCCATATTCTCCCCCAGCCCCCTTTTCGCCCTTGGGCCCGAGGGGTCCATCGGGTCCGATGTCACCCGGGAGCCCTTCTGTTCCTTGGGGTCCAGTTATTCCAAGAAATCCTGGCTGCCCTTTTACTCCGGTACAATTGCATTTGTACGAGTCCTTGCATATCTGAAACATATATAAAAGCTTTCGTTAGAAAATTCCTTGTTAAGAATTCGTTATATTAATTTTTCCTCAGGATCGATATAATAATGACCTAAATATGGATTTCACTTTAGAAGTGTTTTACTATGTATATAAGCCACGATCAAACCGAGAATCGAGATTTATGAAATTATATTCATCATATGTATGGATAAAGTCGCGGAAAATGGAAGCTCCTGGAAAAGCTTCGTCGAAATTAATATTTCTAATTTCATGCTCGAAAATACTGTTTTATTAACGGGAAATGTATGCCGAGTGCTAACAAAGAAAACGTTATATTACATAACATGATAAATTGCATTTATCTGGGATGGAAATAAAATATATCTGCAACGGATCTCGTCGCTGAGGGTCGCGATAAAAATTGATTAAAAACGGCTTTGTTATACCGTTAAAAAAATCAGAATCGAGGACAGGGACTTTGCTGAAGAGGAAGAGCACACTGATTGCTTCGCCAAAGGCGCAGAGCGATTGAGATTTAAAGCGACGAGAGATGAAAGTTATAAACATGCACGCTATGTTTCTCACATACCCTCTTTCTCCTTATTTTCTTCGTGATATCGAAATTAATATTACGATTTAACTGTGATTTTTAATTTTTAGAAATTTATCGATCTCTTCTTCAAACCTCTCTTAAATATTATGAGGCTTGTACAGAGTGAATTATTTTAATAATTATTAATATATAATATAAAGCTCGTACAAATTGAAAATGTTAGGCTCTTTTTTTATAGACGAGCAAATAAACGTTGTTTAAATTAAAAATTAAAACAATTTATTTGAATTAATTTAATTTTAATAACTAAATATACTTTGAAAATATGCAATTTTATTTTTGGAATAAAAGTTCTGTATCGTAGAGAAAGATGTGTAATAGTAATCCTAATTTAAACTTTGTGACGTCTATCTAAGATTATTTAAAGATTATTAAAGGTCAACCTAATTTTTCAGAAATGGAACTACTTTAATTTTTTCATGAAAATTGATTCCTCGACAATATTCGGTATAAAAGGTTCGTGAATAGTTTACGAGATAATTTTTATTTTAGGTAATTTGATATAAAATATATCTCATAAAATATTGATCTTATCCCAATATTTTTATACACAAATGAGAGGAATCGAGTGATATAAAGAGAACATAATAATAGTTAAAAAAATGCAGGTAATTGTAAATTATATATTTGTATATAATTAATTCAATATATATTCCTTAAATATAGCTTCATTTTGTAGAGCTCGATTTACCCAGTTTTGACGGATAAATTATTTATCGTGCGGGCAAAGTATGGTTCTTGAGGCTTGTTTTTTTTGTTTAAAATTTCGGATATCGAGAGATTTTTTTTCGATGGCGGAGATTTAATATCGCGATAATCCCGCGATATCTACGCCAGTGAGTTACGAAGGCCGCGCTCTATTTGAATAACGTGGAAGAGGACGAAAACGGAATCGTGCTTCCACACATTTGCCTTGTAGATGAAAGTTCTGCGCTTGTGTCAACGACGCACTCTAGGACCGACCAGACTTTTCAGAGAACCTTCGTAACACCGTACTCTCTCCGTCGGGGCATCATTGTTTCTCTCGTTCATCTCGTTTCCTTTTCCTCGCTTATCCGCGATCTTCCTGCACGTGCCCCGTTTCTGTTCTTCAGCTTTTAACACCTTATCGTTTTGTCTCGGAATACGACGCCTTTTTTTCAAGACTCAGGGATTATCGCACGGATAACGAGCAAAAACTGAATATAGTTGACGAATTTCTGTTAAATTTAACAGATATCGCATGTCCCAAACGGTCCACAGAAATTTTTCTGTTAATTTAACATAATATGGATGTGTTAATGGAGACACAAATATTGTGTTAATATTTTAACACAAAATAAATGCAAAATTTCAAGTAATTTAATATAATTTTTGTGTAAAATTAATATAGTTTTAATTTAAAAATTAATTTAGATTTTATCATCCCCACTTATATTATAAAATAAAAAATCAACATTTTTTCTGTACATTTTTATTGTGTAAAATTAAAAATAGATGCACATTATGTTATTTTTCCATTTTTTTCAGTCGTTTTAATAATTTAACATTTAAGTTCATTTAACAGAACAGTAATATGTTAAATTAACACATGAATGTGTTAAATATTTAACACGAAAATTTTAACGGCGACCGTTTTTAACAAGAATACACACATTTTTTACTGTAAATGAATAATAATAACGGCCGAAAGATTATATCGTTATTGGCTTGAAAAAATAATATACATTAAAAAAATGTTTTTTGATTATATATTAAAATTATATATAATTTTAGAACGCTATTTATCTTTATGGTTATAATTGATTCGTTAAACAAATTTATATAATTGCAAAAATTCATATACGGTGTGATAAACGTGTTCTCTTGAGAGACTTTTTGAGCTTTAAAAGCTCGCTGGAATCTCAATGCTATCGTTACTTATGCAATGATATAACCGCTGCTGCATAATCTCAATGTCGTCATTACGTTATTTGTGAAGAGCTATGTCGTTCTACTTAAATATCGCGGCAGAGAAGATTTGAAAATGTGTGCGGCTCCAAATATTGCGACGAAATAATGTAAGAATGACCAAAGTAATTTCTTTCCATTTTTATTTATTCTAGAAAAAAAAAAAATATATATATATATGCATATTCCTCTTATCGTGTTAAACTCATTCTGCTAAAAATGAAATAATAACTCATTCTTAATTCTTTGCACTTAAAAATGTATTCTTCTTTCATACAATTACTGAGCTATGTACTTTCATATAAGATAAAATTTCAATGAATAATCTTACTCTGTTAGAGACTATTTTCTCGATAGTCTAATTTTTATAAATATTAAACGACAGACAGATTATCTCTTTAATGAATACCGACGCGAAAATTATCTAAATTTGCGGTGTCGGTGCTACTTAGCGAAGCAGTCAACGTGTGCGCATATTACCCCTGTAATATCAATATCGCGTCGTCAACGTAATTCATGCAATTAACTTAAGTGCGTGGGATCGCTTAACGCGTCTTCTCCTGGCAATCTCGGCGAATGCAAGTTGATTCCGCGTCTTCTCATTCTCTCTCTCTCTCTCTCGGTTTTCTCATCGAGCGACTTTATTTCTCCTCTTTCTCCCTCGTCAGAGAAGAGTCACATTTCTTTCTCAGAATGTGTGTGTGTGTAATATAAAAATAAAATAATATTTTCTTTTTTTAAATAATTCAAAATTATTGAATAATAAGAAATACCTAAAAATTAATTAATAAATATAATTCTTTTTATTTCTCCCTCGTCAGAGAAGAGTCACATTTCTTTCTCAGACTACGTGTGTGTAATATAAAAATAAAATTAAAACACACACATTATTTTCTTTTTTCTTTTAACATAATTCAAAATTAATAAATAATAAGAAATACCTCTAGAAATTTAATAAATATAATTTTTTTATTTCTCCTCTTTCTCCCTCGAAGAGTCACATTTCTTTCTCAAACTGTGTGTGTGTAATATATAAAAATAAAATTTAAAAAATTCTTTTCTTTTTTTTAAATAATAAAAATTATAAAATAATAAAAGCTTAGCTGAAAATGATCAATAAATTTTGATCCATAAATAAACCGTTATCTGGCGTCTCGCGAGTCATCAGCGTCGTATATATGCATTCGATTGCACACGATCTCGTCGCATAACGATATCCTACCAAATATGTGTAACGCAGGCGCCTCTCCCTGTTTCCACGCATCGACATACATGACGTAACCCCAGCATCAGCCCCGAGGAGGAATCCTCGCGCGGCCACGCCGCGTGACATAATTCCGCGATTACGCGCGCGAGAGGGCGATCTGTCAGGAATTATGCCTCGTTTATGCGTTGTGATACGCGTTCCACCGAGAAGACGAATGTTTCGCGAAGATTTCGCGGAATAACTTGTGCATCTCATTAATGTCAAATATCTCGTACATCTGAGTACATGTACAATCGCTCTTGTTTTCTCATTCCTAAGTTTATTCATACATTTTTCACGATAGAAAAATATTCGAGAGCAATTTGTTCATCGGGTGATTTAAGCGGTTTACTTTTTCTATTTTAGGCTAAAATAATATCGCAAGAAAATTAAATTCGTTTACTCTTTTATTTATTCTAGATATTTTTTAAATAAATTAATGATTTTTATGTAAAGATTTTGTGGAATAACTTGTGCATCTTTTATTCCAAAATCTCTTATACATCCAACAATAAGTAATAGAATTTTTCATTATATGAAAATATTTTAAATATAAAATATTCTAAGGAAATTTTTTATAAAGCAATTTAAAATAAACGTTTTGCATATTCAAATTTAGACTAAAATAATATCGCACGAAAAACAATTAAATGACTTATGATTCTTGTTGTTAATTAAAGAAATTTTTATACTAAATTTGAGAGCAAATGGAGAGATAATTCAATTTATAAAACTCTTCTTAAGAAAAGATCGCGCGCAGAGTAATATTTAAGTTAATTGTAAGACAGATTAGCGTCAAGTTGTAGATTAGGCTAGTGTCAGAATGGTCAAGGTCTCCCCTGATATATTCTTCTTTATTATCATGAAAAAAAAAAAAAAAAAAAAAAGAATATTTATATCGAAGTCCTTTTTGATAAAAAAAAATGCGTTCGCGAAGCATGATACTTCTGAAATTTGTGTCGCTCCATTTATGGACTGCTCCGTATATTACTTCAGCATTAATTTAATATGAAGAAATGGGGATAAATCCGAGGCTCTTTCAAATTGAATTTGTTTAAAATCGTTCGTTGCGCAAATAAACCTAAATACACGTAAAGGATTATGAAAAGCTTATCCCATATGGTTCCGTTTACGAAAACCGACTGGCATAATCATCATAGCTAAAGGCTGCGACTAGTTTAAGTACACGAAGTATAAGTACACGAAGCCTCCTCTCTTCATCACGTACACGTG